GAGATAAGTAGGAGACACGTGAGATAAGTAGGAGACACGTGAGATAAGTAGGAGACACGTGAGATAAGTAAGAGACACGTGAGATAAGTAGTAGACACGTGATATAAGTAGGAGATACGTGAGATAAGTAGGAGACACGTGAGATAAGTAAGAGATGCACGAGATAAGTAGGAGACACGTGAGATAAGTAGGGGACACGTGAGATAAGTAGGAGACACGTGAGATAAGTAAGAGACACGTGAGATAAGTAGGAGACACGTGAGATAAGTAGAAGATACGTGAGATAAGTAGGGGACACGTGAGAAAAGTAGGAGACATGTGAGATAAGTAAGAGATACGTGGGATAAGTAGGGGACACGTGAGATAAGTAGGAGATACGTGAGATAAGTAGGAGATACGTGAGATGAGTAGGAGATACGTGAGATAAGTAGGAGACACGTGAGATAAGTAGGAGACACGTGAGATAAGTAGGAGATACGTGAGATAAGTAGGAGATACGTGAGATAAGTAGGAGACACGTGAGATAAGTAAGAGATACGTGAGAAATGAACAATTCTACAGTTTAGCAGGAACCGAAATTTTTTTTATTTGTTAATTGGCCTTAATTTGGACATAAAAATTACCCCTGGACATAATTATTAACCTAAAATTACTATAAAAATTAAATAAATTGATAAATATAATCTACCTTAGAATTGTCATGTTCCTTTTTAATAGAAAATTTGAGTCCACATTTCTGCCGAAATAATGTCAATATATAAATGAAACCCATAGACGTAAAAGTTACCCCGAAACCAACGTTTTGTAAATCAAATTTACTTAAGAATTACCTATCAATTTACTTTTTCTAATAAAAATTGTAATCCTTGTCTATCCGCATATATAATGTCGCATTATTGATGAAACCTGGTAAAGGCTAAAATTCCCCGAAAAAAATTATGCCAAAATTTTTTTTATTAAGAAAATAAGAGGAGATGTGTAAGATACGTGAGAGATGTGTAAGATACGTGAGAGATGTGTAAGATACGTGGGAGATGTGTAAGATACGAGAGAGATGTGTAAGATACGAGAGAGATGTGTAAGATACGAGAGAAATGCCTTAGATACGTGTGTGTTGCATGAGATACGTGAAAATGTAAGAAAAGTATAGGATATGATTGGATACGTGTATGTTATATGTGATACGTGTGGTGGTGGGTTGCCTGGTGTTAGCTGATATGAATTTCTCCCAATTGTATTCTTGCTAATATTGCACTTTATTCGCAAAAAATTAACGATTATCTGGTTGCCAACAAGCAGTTATTTATTATTACCAACGATTATTATATTATTATTATTAGTTCCCTAAATGCAGGGCAGACATTTCAATTGTCATCATAAAATTGACTGTAGGTTAATAATAATTCAAATTGTCTATCACGAATCTGTTTTCCAGATATGATGGCGAACCACTGGGATGCAAGCCGAGATTCCCTGCAGAACCAAGACCAGCATGACCACGAAGAGGACTCAGAGGGGCGTGAATCCAACCACACTAGCCCTCTGGGGTTCGAAATTGTCAACCCTGAAGTGGTGAGTCCAGAAAATGGCCAAAATGAATATTCGCTCTTCCCCAACCGTACACCTGTTAATGGTCAACATATTTCTCCGTCGGGAATTACAAATTCACAATTGGTAACGCCAAATTCCTGTAATTCACTTCAGGAAACTCACGATTCACAATTGGGGCCGCTGAATTCCTCCATTGGCCTCCACGATTCTCAATTGCCGGGCCCAAGCAACAGTGGTGAAGAAAGTTCCCAGCAACTGCATCCAACTGGAGTCCGGCCAAAAATCCGACCACCGCCGAATCATACATTCACAACAAACTTTTCACCGAGGGAGTCTCTCGAAGAATTGAGTTTTCCAACGACTTTTCACTCAAGCCGTCGACATGGCGAATTTCCAGTCCGCAATGCTAATAATTACGATAATGGATACAATGTTCTAAGTCCTCGTCGAGATTCCATACCCGAAGCACTCACGCTAAGCTGTGGGGTACTATCACCTTTCACGAGCCCAACGGACGATCACAACTGGAGGAACTCAGGTGGTAACCGTGACGCCGCAGCGGCCCTGTCACCAATACCATCTGGTTTTATTTTGCTTGGTAATGGGCCATCAAGCCTTACATCCCCTCCTTTAGCGGATGATCGTTCCAGCATTTCAGTCATTGCTCCGAGAACTAATTACAGTTCTCAAACTTCAGTCTTCTCACCAAATAATGGCAACCATTGGCATATGCCAGACACCGAATTGTCAACCCAATTTTCTGGTTTGACTACCCATGATGGACGAAATGACGATGAACCAAACGGAGCTACAAATATCAATGCTATAGAAACGTATTCCGTGACGGCTGAAACTGCAGAAATTCGCTATGCATCAGAAGATAATTCCTCGACGAACAACGTGTTTTCCGATGCATTCACATCGCCCATCTTCCATCATCCTCCACCAAACGTGTATCGCGAACCAACTAGAGAGATGGACCAGAGAGAAATGTTCTCTGGTGGAAACTCAAGAAATTTGCCGGTGCATGTCGCACCCAAAAATGGTCGTACTCTACTGACTGACTTTCGAGGTCCAACACGAAGGTTGAGTTTTCCCGATAATGATCTGCCAGCTCAAAGGTCTCATGGAGTTATGAACCCCATGAACGGTGGCACCTGTTTTAATAGAAATGGGTTCGGGACAAATTCCTTGTCTATTGGCAATAACACATCTTTTTCCCCTCCCGAAACTAATTGTTTTCTTGAGTCAAGTCATTGCAAAATGTGCAACGATCGAATTGCGTCACTGCCGTGTGACTTGTGCCTGATGAAATTTTGTACCTCGTGTCTGGACCTTCATGTGCATCACTGCCGCAGGCAACAATTAGTGCCTGCAAACCGACATCATCTACCGCGTGGAGGCATATTTAATAGAGGAATGCGTCCATTTAGGTATTCAAACAACCGCATGAGCATGTTGCCTCATGTGAGGCATGGTCTGGCAGTGAATAGTTCCTTGACTCGACCGCTGCCACCGTTCCGACCTCCTATTGCTCGCTGTTCGGTTCATGACAGATACTTGGCCCGATACTATGATCCTGCTACGCGACGACAACACTGCGTTGTCTGCATTCTCAAACGAATCGGTTCTGATCCTCCCATCAGGAACCCCAGTCTAATTCCTTTCCCTGCTCCCACACAGGAAGAATTTCCATGGAGCGTGAGTTTGCTACAAACTTTAATGGAAGAAGTGCCTCGAACCATCAACAGATTCAGATCAGTGAGTATGTATCCCTTTTTGGAAGACGAAGTGAACGGACACCTTGTATTCCTTGAACAAATTCCGATCGACCGAGACCCATCACTGTTACAGTTTCAAGATCAACTAAATTGTCTTCTTGTTTACCTGAACAAAGTCATTCTACGTATAAGTAATGTGTATCAAGCCGATGAAACAAGACAGATCTGTAATACAGTGAATCAATGCCACGAACTTAACAGGACCCTAAGCGAGCAAGCCGGCGGGCCTATTTCCACGCCAATCGTTCCTGATTCCTGTGCTCCAGGGGTAGGATCAAACTCGAGAGTGTCTGGTCCAGCCTGCAGCGGCGTTGTTCAAGTAGGAGAAGAAACTGTCTTCTTCCTTGAAGTCAGAGATAATTCGGATAGAAGTCGTGAATGGAACCGGGACGCCATCAAAATTGACATCCGGAGTGCGAGCAACTCCCAAGTTCGCCACAGAGTTGAGTCAGCAAACCTCGTAGGCGTGGTGAGCGTTAAATTTACTATTGATGACAGAGGTGATTACTTAGCAACTGTGATGGTCAATGGAGAGAATGTTAGAGACACTCCTTTTCAAATTCACGCAACAAACGAAGAAATCGTCTACAAAACCTTTTTCGAACCTACAAGACATGTTGGAGAAAGCGTCGCGCCGAGTCAAGTCGGTCTCTTCAGCCGACCCTGGGGTGTCCACTTTGCCAGCGACGGTGGATACATTGTTGCAGATCGAAGTAACCACCGAATTATCATATTGGATTCAAATTGCCTGTTCAGGTTTGCCTTCGGTGTTCAAGGACACGTCAATGGTGAACTTTTCCGTCCATCAAAAGCGGTTGAGTTGAATTACGAAAGCGGACTAACTCACCTGGTCGTTGCTGATAAAGATAATCACAGACTGCAAATTTTTACCCAGGAGGGCTTGTTCGTTGCAAGGACCCCTGCCTCTCATGAGCTCAAGTATCCATGGGACGTTTGTGTCACAAGTGAAAGGGTAATCGTCTGTACGGATGCAAGAAGCAATAGACTTCCGTGTTTCAACAATAAGTTGGAACCAATTCGAATCTTGTTATTACCTCCAGAATGCGTTTCTCGAGGGATCTGTGGCGGATACTTGAACCATGTCATAGTTACAGAGTTTACCAAGTGCGACATGTACATTGTTTTTGCCCCAAGCTCTATTTACACTCCAGAAACCAGCTCTGACATCGCAGCACATCACAGCTTGAGATTGTACGCCCCGAGAAGCAATCCTCAGTTTCTGGGGCCGAAGGAGAAAAGTGAGAAAAACGCCGAACGACTGCAAGGAATTTGCCGTGATGCCCGAGGCAGACTTCTTGTGGCTGACTCCAGGCAGAACAAAATTAGGGTTTTGACTTACCTAGGCAAGGAAATAGCAGGTTTTGATGTGCTGGGGGAACCGCAGGGAGTGGTGGTTGGTAGGAACTCTGTGGCAGTGATCAACAACACCCGTAACACGTTGGATTTGTACACGAATTTCAATTTGATTTAAATATGCGACGGGAGAAGTTCAGTGTAGAAAAATTTGTATTTTATGTCCTCTTAAGTGTTCACCTATGTTAGGCTGCTAACTGGAAGATTAACTACCATCTTGCCCTTTATTCTCGCTAAGTTATACTGACCACCAAGGCATTACTTTAAAGTGAGATTCAAGCGAAGTTTCACGCCTGATTTCCGTGAATATATTATAGGAAACGTGGCTCACAATTAAATAAGGATATAATTACTAGAAATAAGGTTGTCATATGAAATCAAACTGCAAGGCAAGAAGTACAACTTTAATGACACAGACAATTAGATATAGCAGTCGCGTCGTTGACCTATGTTTTAATAATTAGTTGATGAATTGATTTTTATGTAGGTTATACATGTTAACATGTGGAATACAAGATGCCTAGTGGAGAGCAGGATTTCTGTATGTCACTTTCGTAAACATGCCTTCATTGTATCTTTGGGACTTTGCTCAATGTTCCTCCATGTATTTTATGAATTTCTGTTATATTTCTAACAGAACTATGAGAAGTAAGTAGCCTTCTTCACTGATTAATGCTTGATAAAAGAAGGATGGAAATAAATCCTAGTATTACAAATAGGAAATTTAGCGATTACTAACCTTAAGGAATTATTTAAAGACGGATTAATTTAATACTCCATTGTACTTTTTCAGGCTATGGAGAAACTAGAGAACGATTATGAATTTGTTAATTGAATCACGATTGAAAAACTTGAATCATTACCGATTTAAAATTGGAGTTTTTAATTAACATTTGCTTTTGCTCTACAATGTCTTGACAATCCAATTGATGTATGCATTATGTATGAGTGACTACAACTTCATAAATAAAGTAAAAATTTGTGGTGGTAGTTAAAATTAATGACCATAATAGCTGAAGTAATGGTTAAAGATTACATTGCCATTTACCGCATTTTCTCATTTACGAAAAAAAGGCACAATAGTGCTTGTCATGTCCGTTTGTCCGTCTGTGACTTCACGTTTTCAGAGAAAATGCGCTCTCTGTCACTCACTGCAGCGGGTACTGATCTAATTTTTTGTTAATGACGAAAAAGTTTGTAAACTTGATGTGTATTTTTCTACTGCAATGTAAGGCAACTTGGTTTAAAGGACCCAGACTTGGATCATCAGGAGTGACTAATGCTTAAAAAATTTTGTAAATTCTAAATAATTTTACCTTGACTTCCTTTTGTCTTTTGTCAGTAATTTAATTACAATTTGGTTATTCAGTGACAGAATTTCGACATTCATTTGTATCATTCAAGGTAAACTTTGCTTTAATTAACAATTTGTTATGTGGTGACATTTCATGTTTCATACATGAAATGATGTTTCATACCTACTTTTGATATACTTTTACTTTTGTACTTTTTTGTACTTTTTTTCTTACTTTGTCTGATGTCATACTTTTCATACATAATGTTTATTCTCACAGGTAATAATAATAATCATAATAATGATAATAATAATAATGTCCCATTACTGCAATTTACAATAATTTTGCGCTACATTGTGTAATTCTAATCACACATTACAAGATAGTGACATTTTTCTTGAGGGTTGTTGCTTTTGAACTAAATAAAACAGTGTGTGTAGAACATATGCTGTTGAAATTGTATATATTATAATACTAATAAGTAAAGGAATGTGCTAGCATATTTTCCTTGAATTTTCCGACATTTCTACACAAATGTTTTATGATGGAAACATCTCTGTGTTCTGATGTTTTTCTCCTAATGGCCATCTTTCAAACTTGTAAGTTCATTAATACAAATAATTTGGTGATTGAAATATCACAATTTGATGGTATTTTAATTCAGCATTTTTAGTCTGATATACCTGGTTATGCAAGTTTTCAACTAGTGGATGCCTCAAAACAGTTGATGGATTTTTCCAACTTAGAAATGAGACAGGATACATTTTAAATATACCACATGTTCTTTTATTATGGTTATGCACTGCAAGTTTGAAACTTGGTCTATAAATTTCTGTTTCTTTAGCTTATACAAGTAGCTTTGTGTTGTGTTCTTTAGTCTTTAATTTTATGTTTAGGTTTTACATACCTTATTAAGTGAAAAAATAAGCACCTATTTTTGTTTCAAAAAAATTAAATGTTAGTTGTTTTTCAGGGAGGAAATCGACTTTTCTAAAAATGTTCATTTCCATCCCATCAATTGTTTTCAAACTAACATTTGTTTTGCTTTCATTTTTAATCAGGCAGGGGGCAAATATTTTTTGGAAGGAAATTCATGTTTTCTGCACAATTTTTTGCACAGATTTTTCAGTTGATCCCTAATTTTTTCTTTTGCAAGTTACTATTTTTTATACAATTCAAAAAACATAGATCCGCTTCCATTTCCACATGATTACTTCTTAATAATTTATTGAATACAAAGAAAGTTTTGAGAAAAATTCTAACAATTTTTTTCTAGGCAATTCTTTCATTAAAAAATTTTCTTTTTAACAATTCTTTATTTCATAAATTCTTTCTCTCAACAATTCTTTCTTTTAAAATTTTTTTTAACAATTCTTTCTTCCAACAATTTTCTTTTAACAATTCTTTATTCTAACAAAATGTCTTCAAAATTTTGTACTTTCTGATGCTATTTTCTTGGCATGTAATACTAAATACTAACAATGAAAATTTAGCCCCATTAATTGGCTCACCCATTCTATTGATTGTTTTTGATTAGAAAATAAGCTCTATTAAGTTTCTTAGAGACCAGCCTTGGTGGCTGTTAAGTGTCTCGTTTCTATATAAAGTATCAGATACGTTCCTTAAATAGTTCAGTACCCTACAACATAGGTATCCTTAATCATTGTGGATCAAGAATACCTGTATAATATAGATAATAATTCCCTTAATCCTATAAATGATTTGAGCTTCAGAAGCCATATGCACAATAACATTTTAGCTCATATGTTTGTGGAATATTTTTCACTTCATTCCTTTTTTCTGTGATCAAATAGGTACCAACTACTGTCAATGCTGCTTAAGTCGCCACTGTAATGTTGTAATAATAAGTTGCCACTGCACTTAACTTGCCATTCATCTTCAGAATTAAGCATAGACAAGCCAGATGTACTTGCTTGCACTTGAAAGCTGGAAAATTCGATTAAAATGTACTGAAAATTTAGGATTTAAATATGAATAATTTGTTTGTACTGGCAGCCTAAATGAAATGGCAACTTATACGATGTGGCTATTCAAGTAATTCATTGATGGTATATAACTTATAGTTCAAAGGTACTTGTGGGCGGAGACATGTCCCTTCCCAGCTGTGATTGGTTAAGATGTCATGCTATCCAGACTGTGATTGGTTGATATGATCATTATCTCATGCTATCCAGACTGTGATTGGTTGATAGGATCATGACGTCATGCTATCCAGACTGTGATTGGTTGATAGGATCATGATTTCGTCCTCTCCAGACTGTGATTGGTTGATAGGGTCATGATGTCATGCTATCCAGGCTATGATTGGTTGATAGGATCATGATGTCATCTTATCGAGACTGTGATTGGTTATGGGTCATGATGTCTTGCTATCCAGACTGTGATTGGTTGATAGGATCTTGATCTCATGCTATCCTGACTGATTGGTTATGGGGTCATGATGTCATGCTATCCAGACTGTGATTGGCTATGCAATGGCCTTTTCATAGGTCATTTAAAACCCCTCTAGAATTCCACCAAATATTGGTATATCAAGAAATTAATTACAAACTTGATTTAATAATTTGAACAAACATGACTGGCATTTCCAACGTTGGCCAAAGCTTTTACAGTGCATATTTTGTGTTAAAAACAACCCTGCAATTTGTTGAATAATTTGGTGTTTTTGTTTATTTCTCATTTGTTTTTTTTTTTTCAACCAAAATCACTATTGCCACTTTTTATTTCTATTATTTTGGTGTAGATTTTTCTCAGCTTGAAAAACTTTCTTAGTCGAAAGTGAGTAAAATTGTTTATTGTATCTGTTTACAAAACTTGATTCCTGAATATCTGCTAATTTTGATAATATTTCGTACAAATTGTAAACGTTTTTCAGTTACTTTATTTCAATGATTCGAAATCTGACAAAATTGTTTTTTCGTTATCAATTTCTCTTTAGTTTTCTCAACTAAACTTAGTTGTTTTATTTGAATGAAATTAATTTTCACATAGATTTCTCGCAATGATTTTTTTCATTTTATTTCCGTTCCGTATTCATTTTATATATAAAGAAACCTTTTTCATCACTCTTGGTTGGCACTAAAATTGTGTATCTTCATTTGGCTCTAAACACCCTATAATTTGAAGATTTTAATAAGTTCCCGTTCCATTCAATTTGTGCCCATCCTTTTTCCATTATCATAAATATATCTGGCCTCTAATCTTTCCCGTATATTTGGCTTCTTGATGTTTGACATTGACTTGATTCACCCATTGAAAATAAATTCTTCAATGCTATTTCTTCTGGGGGAAGTATGACCATCTTTTTTCCATATTCCCTTCATCAACATTCCTGGCCTCAAATCTTTCCCGTATGAACGACTTCTTGAGTCACCCCAACCACTTCTTATTCACCCATTGAAATTAAATTGTTCAATGCTACTTCTTCTGGGGGAAATACTCCCCAATACCAAGTTCGTTCTGTGGACTTGGTCGCTGTGTCGTCAGTGACACTAAAGTCGCCACTAGCTTGCTTGTAGTAACATTAGCTTAACTTTCAAAATATATATTCCTGTTTTCACGCACGAATACTCCTACTAAATGTGATTGGGAATCAGAAATTCTTTCTTTACAAGTGTTTATAATATCTATTGTTTTTATAGCAACGTGGCGGCTTAAATAAAGGCGGCGACTATTGTGTCATTGAGGATAGAGATTCTTAAGTTAAGCGAAGACGTAAGTTAAACAATTCTGTTTATGTATTAAGTTACTACAGCCACCAGTGACAGCCAGCATTAACACTCACTATTATTGTCTCACTTCAATAACAATTTCCTTATGTTTCCTTTATATTGATGCTCCCATTGTTATTCATTTAAGGAAAGGATTAACTGCGTACAATGATAACTTGAAGTTCCTATAGGTTGAAGCGTTTCAGAACGGCGTTCATGCCTTCAGAAACATTTGTTGTTATTGATTTAGTGATGGCGAGTAGTTATCGGGCTTCTTGAATATTAGACTCAATGTCATTTTTCAAGTTATTCATGAAATAACTTGAAAATGGTTGAGACAATTCTTGTAGTAACATTAGCAATTGCGATTGAGGTTGCTTTGTAACATTATTGAGAATTGAGGTTGCTTGTAGTAACATTAGCTTATCTTTCAAAATATTTATTCCTGTTTTCACGCACAAAAAATCTTACTAAATGTGAT